TTGTAAAAGAATAAAAACAGATTGAAACGAGAAAGAAAGCAGCTCTTCGATTGAGTTGAGATTAACTTGTGCTGTGTCACAGGACTTTCATTCACTAAGAAAAAGCGTGTGTTTTTTTGCTTTGAAGCTAGGTATAAGGGCTTTATTATTCCATTCGAAAATCCACGCGTATTCTGTTTTCTTCATGGTGGGGTATAAGGGATTGATTCTCCAACTCAAAAAAGTATTTCCCTCCAAGGCAGGATACATAGTATTTTATCTAGATCACGTGTCCCAACTAGATCTCTTCATTCTGACATGGAAGTATGATAGAACCCCTTTCATACCCCTCTCATTCTAGACACCAAATGCTCACCAGGAACGACTTAAGGAACTTGATTTGCACCAGGTGCATGTTGGCATGAAAACCTAGTTGCACCAGGTGCTATTTGGCATGAAAAGCTAGTTGCACCAGGTGCAAGGTGGCCTGAAAAGCTAGTTGCACCAGGTGCATGTTGGCACAAAAAGCTAGTTGCACCAGGTGCATGTTGGCATAAATAAAGCTAGTTGCACCAGGTGCATGTTGGCATGAAAACCTAGTTGCACCAGGTGCATGTTGGCATGAAAACCTAGTTGCACCAGGTGCTGTTGGCATTAAAAAATCTAGTTGCACCAGGTGCATGTTGGCATGGAAAGCTAGTTGCACCACGTGCATGTTGGCATGAAAACCTAGTCACACCAGGTGCTGTTGGCATAGAAAATCTAGTTGCACCAGGTGCATGTTGGCATGAAAAGCTAGTTGCACCAGGTGCTGTTGGCATAAAAAAAATCTAGTTGCACCAGGTGCATGTTGACATGAAAAGCTAGTTGCACCAGGTGCATGGTGGCATGAAAACCTAGTCACACCAGGTGCTGTTGGCATAAAAAAAATCTAGTTGCACCAGATGCATGTTGGCATGAAAACCTAGTTGCACCAGGTGCATGTTGGCATGAAAACCTAGTTGCACCAGGTGCTATTTGGCATGAAAAGCTAGTTGCACCAGGTGCATGTTGGCATGAAAACCTAGTTGCACCAGGTACATGTTGGCATGAAAACCTAGTTGCACCAGGTGCATGTTGGCATGAAAAAAGGCTTGTTGCACCAGGTGCATGTTGGCATGAAAACCTAGTTGCACCAGGTGCATGGTGGCATGAAAACCTAGTTGCACCAGGTGCTATTTGGCATGAAAACCTAGTTGCACCAGGTGCTGTTGGCATTAAAAAATCTAGTTGCACCAGGTGCATGTTGGCATGGAAAGCTAGTTGCACCAGGTGCATGTTGGCATGAAAACCTAGTCACACCAGGTGCTGTTGGCATAGAAAATCTAGTTGCACCAGGTGCATGTCGGCATGAAAAGCTAGTTGCACCAGGTGCTGTTGGCATAAAAAAAAATCTAGTTGCACCAGGTGCATGTTGGCATGAAAAGCTAGTTGCACCAGGTGCATGGTGGCATGAAAACCTAGTCACACCAGGTGCATGTCTGCATAAAAAAAATCTAGTTGCACCAGGTGCATGTTGGCATGAAAACCTAGTTGCACCAGGTGCATGGTGGCATGAAAACCTAGTTTCACCGTGTGCATGTTGGCATGAAAAAAACCTAGTTGCACCAGGTGCATGTTGGCATGAAAACCTAGTTGCACCAGGTGCATGTTGGCATGAAAACCTAGTTGAACCAGGTGCATGTTGGCATGAAAAAAGGCTTGTTGCACCAGGTGCATGTTGGCATGAAAACCTAGTTGCACCAGGTGCATGTTGGCATGAAAACCTAGTTGCACCAGGTGTATGTTGGCATGAAAACCTAGTCACACCAGGTGCATGTTGGCATGAAAACAGGTTGATCATTGATCCCACAAATTTATCAAATTTAAAACATAGATGCTTAAACTAGTCCCAAAAAGTAAAATGTGAGATCTCCGATGACACTGTTATGTGTCATGAATTACACATTCAGGTAACACAGCAATTAGTCATGTGGTAGTATGGCAAATAATGCCTCGAGGTACAGAGCGTGTTCAATGGTCGATACTGTGTGGTCAAAGTAAGGGTTGGTCACACAAAAATTTGGTGCACTTGGTGCATGTAAACATAAATATTGGGTTGCATTTTTCAATAATAGGTTGCAATTGTGCATGTTTTATACATAGCTAAATCGAGCCCTGCTCACATGGATGGCACTAGATGGTAAGTATGTTCTTTTTAACTACAGTTGGTTAATGGGTCTCACTGCTGTCATTACCCAACACAAAACTACTGAGTGTGACACACTTTTTACGCTAATGTCAAATGTTGCAACACTCACAATGTTAGGTAGTTGTGGATAAATAGTATTTCAGTTCCATCACAGAAAGTTCAAAGTTTGAGTATCTTTTTAAAGGCCATATGAATCATATTTGTGTTTAACGGAAGCATGGGTTATTTATTAATCCAGGCGACTCACAGTAACAATGCATGGATAGAGAGGTCTTAGGTTTGATAGAAACAGCGGAAAACTATACTCACTCACTCACTCAAACTTAGCCCCCAGGTTCGCCCTGATTATGTTTCAAGGTTTGTCACCATACCCGTGTTCGTGGGTGTCACCAAAGTGGTAAACGTCTGAGACCTGCATCACTTCAGGTTTTCCTCCCACAATACACCGTAATATAACTGTAATATTGTTAACAGTGACGCTAAACCAGACTCACTCACTTACTTACTCTACAAGTTTCTACTGACTATAAATTCAGATGGAAACTCACTCACCTAACCACTCACCCACTCACTCATGGACTCACTCACTCACCTTACCACTCACCCACCCACTCACCCAAGGACTCACTCACTCAGCTTACCACTCACCCACTCACTCACCCATGGAGTCACTCACTCACCTTACCACTCACCCACCCACTCACCCATGGACTCACTCACTCACCTCACCACTCACGCACTCACTCACCCATTGACTCACTCACTCACCTAACCACTCACTTAAGCACTAAAGTGGCACTAAACCAAACTCACTCACTCACTCTCACCCAATCAGATGCACTAAAGCGGCTCTAAACCAAACTCACTCACTTACTCACCTAACCACTCACCCACTCACTCATGGACTCACTCACTCACCTAACCACTCATGCACTCACTCACCCATGGACTCACTCACTCACCTTACCAATCACCCATGGACTCACTCACTCACCTCACCACTCACCCACCCACTCACCCATGGACTCACTCACTCACCTTACCACTCACCCATGGACTCACTCACTCACCTCACCACTCACCCACCCACTCACCCATGGACTCACTCACTCACCTTACCACTCACCCACCCACTCACCCATGGACTCACTCACTCACCTCACCACTCACGCACTCACTCACTCACCCATGGACTCACTCACTCACCTAACCACTCACTTAAGCACTAAAGCGGCACTAAACCAAACTCACTCACTCACTCTCACCCAACCAGATGCACTAAAGCGGCTCTAAACCAAACTCACTCACTCATCCACCCACTTGGTTGATGCATGTCATCATATCCCAACTGTGATTATTTACAGACTACCGTCATACAGCTGGAATATTGCTGAGTGCGGCGTTAAAAAACAAACAAGTAACAACAAGCTTTCTGAATCCCCACCTCACTGGGGCCCCTTTTCAATTTTAATGTAGTTATAAAATTGTAGTTATTTAAAATCATATATTCTCAAAAGACTAAGGGTTAGTCTACCCCTCCCCCAAATCGCTCTTATCAAATGGTACTTCTGTTGTAAAACTATTATTTTGTATGTTTGTTTGTTGTTTAACGCTGCACTCAGCAATATTCCAGCTATAAGACGGCAGTCTGTAAATAATCGAGTCTGGACCAGACAATCATGTGATTGACATCATGAGCATCGATCAACACAATTGGGATACGATGACATACATCAACCAAGTCAGCAGGCCTGACCACCCGATCCCGTTAGTCGCCTCCTATGACAAGCATAGTCGCCTTTTTCGGCAAGCATGGGTTGGTGAAGACCTATTCTACCCCGGATCTTTACGTGTCTACAAAACTATCAATGATGTAATGAGTTTGTTGTCCCCAGTTGTGACTTATTAATCAGCTGATGACAAAACTGACGATTGCTAGAGGGCAACTGCAGCTAGGACATTTCGTATAAAAAAAAATCTTCTTTTTTTTTTTCGCTAGATGTAATAATAGTCCCCTGATCAACCACTTTCCTGACAAGTTGATGACAACCATTGTTCATCATGACTGCACGCAACAATCACAAATAGAAATAAAACAACAGCTATTATGACAGCTGCTGACAAAAAATTAATCCATTTGTTTAAAAAAAGAACAGTTTCAAACAATTACCATGAATTACCATTTGAGGACTTTTCATTCTATTTCTCTTCTAAATAGTTAAAAAAGTAAAATAATGTGCAACAATGACTAAATCAAATGGTATAACATAGTTAACAGTTAACAATCAAATGGGGTTATAAATTATTTATCACTGGCCAAGGACAGAATGCTGATGGTGAAATGTACATGCAAAAATAGAAGCACTGCTAAATATGTTAAAACACTATGAGATTATTTCCATTTATAACAAATTATAGATAATACATGATGTTGGTGAGTGAAAAATATAAAGAAAAAAAAGTATGAAAAAATACACAAAATGACTCTTAATTAAAAATATATTATTCCTCTTTATCTCGTTTTTAGAAATAAAAACATATTGTAACAACATTGTCCTCCAAACGAGACATGTGACAATAAAATATAAATTAAACCAAAAGAAATCTGCACAATACAGCAATAATTATTGGATTGTCCCACAGATTCTAACAACGAGCAAGACATGCTTTCGCGTGGGCGTGTTCGTCTCGACAATAGGTAATCGTTCAGGCATGACGTTGTTGACGGTGAAACAACATAAACAAATAACGACTAACCCTCACTTTACCGAAAAATGATCAATAATTTTACCTCTTGCTGCTTGCTCAAACTGCCGATCCGTTAATATGACCGGGCAGATTTTCTCCCGAGTCAACCCGCCGTTGATGCAATACCGTCCCTATAGAATTACTGATGCCTTCTTTTTTCCTGGCTCAATCAACTGTCACGAATTCTTATGACGATGTTGCTAATTCTGGTAACTGGTAACCTCCCGACACCACTGAGGAATATACTCACGTGGCGACACGAGAATCAGACCTGTTGATTTTCTCCAAAAAATGTCCACACGTGTAGAGCAGTCAGTGACAACTGTTTCGAAACCTCACCCGAAATAGGAAAACAGACAAGTGAACCGAGTGCGATCGGAAGGAAATGAATGTACATGCTTTTTGTTACTAACCTTCACCTTCTTAGCTCAACGTCCTTGCCCTTGGAGATACACGGGGAATTTGCAAGGGAAGTAATTGAGGGGGTACTTGCGATTGCAAACTATTGCATTATGAGCTATAAATACACCCGGGCTGTCGAAATCCTTCTTTGGGAAAATACCATCTGTGTGATGATAGGCGGGTGAAGAGCAGTGTCAATGAAAATTGAAAAAAGGCATGATGAAACACGCTTCCTGTTTGGAAACACCAATTACAGACCTGTCGATGCTGAACATGCACGTTTTATAATGTAGAAGGCCTAATGCATTTCTCCAACTTGGGTTTATTTAGGAACAAAGTGATTTACAAGCGACAATAGAAATAAGCATATTCCAAATTATTTATTGTTCATATACAACAACATTACACCTCTCCACATTTCTTTTGATAGTTGACCCTTGAAGATCTGGGGTAGAATAGGTCTTCACCAACCCATGCTTGTCGTAAGAGGCGACTAACGGGATCGGGTGGTCAGGCTCGCTGACTTGGTTGATGCATGCCATCGTATCCCAATTGCGTGCATCGATGCTCATGATGTCAATCACTGCATGGACTGCTTGGTCCGGACTCGATTATTTACAGACCGTCGTCATGTGGCTATAATATTGCTGAGTGCGGCGTTAAACAACAAACAAACAAAAATCTTTTGAGAGTGAGTGAATTAAGCTTTGAAGGGCAGAAGTGGTGATGCGATCAAATTTGATGCAAACAAAAGATTATATGAATCTAACATAAAGTGTTTCTTGTTCATCACAGCCCTCAACAAATTCGGGCTATATGGCGGCCGAGGTAAATAATCGACTCGGGATCAGACAATCCAGTGACTGCCATCATGAGCATCTATCTACGCGACTGGGATCCGATGACATGCATTGACCAAGTCAGCGAGCCTGACCACCCGATCCCGTTAGTCGCCTCTTACGACAAGCATAGTCGCCTTTTACGACAAGCATAGTCGCCTTTTATGACAAGCATAGTCGCTTTTTACGACAAGCATAGTCGCCTCTTACGACAATCATAGTCGCCTTTTACGACAAGCATAGTCGCCTTTTACGACAAGCATAGTCGCTTCTTACGACAAGCATGGTCGCCTCTTACGACAAGCGTAGTCGCCTTTTACGACAAGCATGGTCGCCTTTTACGACAAGCATAGTCGCCTTTTACAAGCATGGTCGCCTTTTATGACAAGCATAGTCGCCCTTTACGACAAGCATAGTCGCCTCTTACGACAATCATAGTCGCCTTTTACGACAAGCATAGTCGCCTTTTACGACAAGCACAGTCGCCTTTTACGACAAGCATGGTCGCCTTTTACGACAAGCATAGTCGCCTCTTACGACAAGCATAGTCGCCTCTTACGACAAGCATAGTCGCCTCTTACGACAAGCATAGTCGCTTTTTACGACAAGCATACTCGCCTCTTGCGACAAGCAAGGGCTGCTGGAGCCCTATATTCCTACTCGGAATGCCCACGGATGTTCACACTAAGTATTACGCAATGATAATGTCCCAGTTTAACATTCGGTACTCATTTACAACGTGAACAGTGGCTGAAAATGGGACCAACGCGCCATTAACGTCAAATGGGCAATTATGTCAGCTACGTGAATGTGGGCAGATCAAACAAGCGTCTATAAAAAGTTAAATTATCAACACACTCAAAAACATATCGGATTATGTTATTTCTCACTGTCATTCGGTTTGAACACAAGTGACGTAAATGGAAACTCTGCTTTAAGTCTGGTGTCCCTCTAGGTCTAGACGTTGAAATTAACGCCATGTGTTAATTTAAAACATTTTATCATCCAAAACTGGCTTCCCCAGGACATTTCGCTTGAGAGATCAAGAGACTTGACAGGGAGAAGCAAGCGTCCGTGAGGCCTGCAGCAGATTACTTGGAAATAAGGACTTAACAAATGGCATCCATGAAGATATTAGTACAACACTGGGGAAGGATGCACCTTCCTAGGCCACCCCGACCCGTGAAGATCCAACCCTTGCTTGCCGTAAAAGTCGACTTTGCTTGTCGAAAGATTCGACTACCGGTGTCAGAGAGTGGAATTTTCCCCCTAGCCCAATTTCCCCCCGGAAAAAGGGCTATATAGCCAAATTTCCCCCGGAAAAGGGGCTATATAGCCATACTTCCCACGGAAAGCACACTATATGGCCATATTTCCCACCCGGAAAATACACTATACAGACAATTTTCCGCTTTGGAGTCAGATTTCCCCATAATTAAATATATGTCTATTATCAAAAGTACCTAGATGTACAGTTGGTTGATGGAGTAATTTACAAGAGAAACCATGATTAGAATCTTGTGTTTTTTTGAGTCATACATTCTTAATTTTAATAAATAGAGGATAGTTCATAGTACAGTGAGATAATTATGGCGGATCTGTCACTCGACAGATCAGATCAGCCTTTTGTCACTGACGAAATGAAATGTTTTATTTATTATATATTTATTTAGTAGGGTATGTGTTGCTTTTTTATTTTTATTTTGTTGTTGTGTATTTGAGGTGTATCTGTGTGTATGTTTGTATGCGCGGAGTGTTATGTAAGTTTGCATGGAGTGCTATGTATGAGTGCAGATATATGCGTTGGTCTGTAATTGTATTGTTCGTAAGGAGTGTATGTATACTCTTTTCACTTCAAATATAATCCAAATTCCCCTCGGGGTAATAAAGCTTTATTCTAAATAACACAAACGGGGTTCGAACCTGGGACCTCTTGCTCTTCAGCATGATAAAGGCGACAGTGAAATTTTCAGCACCATTAAAACCATAACATTTGTGAACAGAATAACTATGTAAAAATAATTTTAATCATTTTACTGAATACTAATGGAGTTGGAGTTCGAGCTGGTCTATTGCGCCAGAAACACAGGACAAAACTTTGTCCCGAAATTCTAAAATATAACTGTCTTCCACTGTTTTGCTGTTTGTTGATTCCAACACACCCTTAATCACTGCATTGTAGAAAAGTATTTACTAGTATCCAGCAACAGTTCATAAATAAGTTCTCTGGCATGAATAACAAGTGGCAAGTCGAAATCGTCTATGTTTTCAACACTAAACTTGTTATACAGGATTCCTAAAAGCTTGTTTTCAATTGAGACACGTTTAACTCCAATTTCTCTGTCAAATATGGCAAGCAAGATGTTCGCTTTTGCCATTGCTGTTTGATCAATGTTTGTTAAATGGTGCAGTAGGTTATGTTTTTTAATACTGCATTGAAAAATCTGAGGGATATAGGGGAAATTCTGCTATATAGCCATACTTCCCCCTTGTGTTAAGGGGGAAAATCTGACTCTAAAGCGGAAATGTGGCTATGTAGTGATTTTTCCCCGGGGGAAATTTAGCTATATAGCCCTTTTTCCGTGGGTAAATTAGGCTATATAGCCCCTTTTCCGGGGGGAATTTAGGCTAGGGGGGAAATCCCACTCTCTGACACCGGGATTGGGTGGTCAGTCTCGCTACTTTGGTTGATACATGACATCGTATCCCAGTTGCGTGGATCGATGCTCATGATGTCAACCACTGGTTGATCTGGTCCTGAGTCGATTATTTACAGACCGCCGTCATATAGCTGGAATATTGCCGAGTGCAAACAAGAAACAAACAAATCCAATGCCACCCAAAAGTGGTGTCCGTGCGGCAGAATTTGGTAGAGGTTAGGCGTGGCACTGAGAGCCTTGAAGACGGAAGACACTCCAAGATATGGTGATGACCGACCGGTGAATGACTGAGGGTCATATTGCTAGTTCGTTAAACATTTCCCCGGAGAGAGTACATTCCATTATCACAGAAACTTTGACAATGAAGAAATTATCAGTTCGTTTGATTCCAAAGCTTCACACGTTTGATCCAAAACGCTTGCACCAGTCATAACATGTCTCGTGATAATACAGCTCTGTTTGAAGCTGATCCAGAAAGGTTCTTTCAAGGATCTGTATCCGTGGATAAAACCTTGGTTCGTCACTTCCAGCCGAGTACAAACAGCAATCAAAACAGTGGAAGTGCTTGACATAACCACCACCAAGAATAACAAAGGCTGTCCCATCAGTTGGAAAGGTTATGGGATGCAGTCGGTGTCGTCATGGTGGGCTATGTGTCAGAAGGCCAGACAATAAACGGATCATATTATGCTGCACTCCGGACGAAACTACGGGATGAATTTAAGACTAAGAGACGCGGGAAGCTGAGAAAAGGTGTGCTCTTCGTCATGGCAATGCGCCAGTGCACATATCAGCCATTGTCCCATGACTACAATACGGTGTGGCTTTGAATACCTTCAACATGCACCCGCTTTCTCCTTATCTGGCTCAGCCAGACTCCCATCTGTTCCCAAAACGAACACAGTTCTAGGCGGAACGCATTTCAACTCGAAAGATGACTTCTATACCCTTCTCCACATGGGTACAATGTGTGAAGCCCATTTCTGGTGTCCCCCGCCGTGATGATGCTGGAATATTGCTAAAAGCAGAGTAAAACCATTTTCACTCTCTCACATCAGTGCATTGAATGATTCCTGCGACATAAACTGACGGCCAAAATTAACTTGGTCGCTGTCGAACACAATGATCCATGACACCCCAGAGGTGTTCTACGGGGGACTTGTCTAAGGAGCGTGCAGGCCACGGCAGCACGTTGACGTTGTTGGCTGCAAGGAAGTTCTGTACGATTCGGGCTGTATGGAGTCTGACGTTGTCATGCTGATAAAGGACACCACTTTGTAGGAGTTGTAGTAATGGTAGGATAGTCGGACGAAGAATGCTACCTATGTAACGCTGATCTGTCAAATTTCCGCTAACGGTAACGAGTGGTGTTCATGCCAACAAATTCCTCCCCACACCATAACATTGCCTCTACCATACGAAACGACCTCATGAACTCAACGTGCTATCGTTAGTTTACCCCTTCGGCGGTAAACACGCTGATTACGTCACTGTCAAGAACCGATTC